ATGTCATCAGTGTAATGGACCAGTGTGATATATTGCAGAAATGAAAAGCGATCAAGTTCTCTCTGAATAAAATTATGACACAAAGCCAGAGAGTTGATATACCCCTGAGGAAGGACAGTAAAGGTATATTTCTGGCCTTGCCAGCTGAAGGCAAATTGCTTTTGGTGGGCCTTATGGACCAGAATGGAGAAAAAGGCATTTACCAAGTTAATGACTGCATACCAGGTACCAGGAGACGTGTTAATTTGCTCAAGCAATGAAACCACATCTGGTACAGCAGCTGCAATTGGAGTCACCACTTGATAATCCTCTGTAATTCTCCAAGATCCATCTGTCTTCTGAGCAGGCCAAATGGGAGAGTTGAATGGGGATGTGGTGGGAATCACCACCCATGTCTTTCAGGTCCTTGATGGTGGCACTAACCTCCGCAATCCCTCCAGGGATGCAATATTGTTTCTGATTTACTATTTTTCTAGGTAGAGGCAGCTCTAATGGCTTCCATTTGGCCTTTTCCACCATAATCGCCCTCACCCTACCAGTCAGGGAGCCAATGTGGGGATTCTGCCAGCAGCTAAGTATGTCTATTCCAATTATGCATTCTGGCACTGGGGAAATGACCACAGGATGAGTCCAGGTACCCACTGGATCCACTGTAATTTGGACCTGAGCTAAAATTCCATTAATTTCCTGACCTCTAAAAGCCCCTACTTTATCTGGGGGGCCACAATGACATTTTGGGTCCCTTGGAATCAACATCAGCTCAGAGCCAGTTTCCAGTAGTCCCTGAAATGTTTGATCATTTCTCTCTCCCCAGTGCAAAGTTACTCTGGTAAAAGGCTGGAGGTCTCCTTGGAGAAGGATAGGAGAAAGATTCACTGCATAAACTGTCAGTAATGTAGCGGGGTCTTTCCTCAACGGGACCCAGCCTCCCCTTCATTAAAGGGGTTCTGGATCTATACACTGGCTGAAAATTGAGGGGCTGCAAATCTCTACTTTCATAATTCAAATAATCTTTTGTCCATTAGACCTAGAAGCTTTCTGCTCGCCTAAATTAAGTAGGAATGCAGTAGGCTTCCTCTCAATTTCACATCTAGGAACACCATGATTAATTAGCCAATGCCAGAGCTCTACAAAAGTCAGATTATTCTGATTGCCATTTTGCCTCTGCTGTCCACTACAGTAGCTACACTTAACCTTGCCTTTGATGGTTGAGTGCCACCACTTGGTCCCCGCCACCTTGGGATCCAATTATTACCATTGTATTTAAATTTTGTAGTTGAGTGACTGCAGTTCACATTGTTAGCTCTGACATACAGAGAAGAGCAATTACAGGGCATCTTCAAAGAGGCCTGTGCTGCCCTCACAAATCTATTTTGCAAGGCATTGGTCAAGGGTATATCTTCTGGACCCTCCCAGTTGGAATGAGTAGGTCTAAAGAGACTAATCCACTCCACCATCCCAATCTCCCTAAGCCTTTGTGTCCCTTCCTCTACATTAAGCCAAGGGAGATCAGGCATTTCCAGCTCGCTCACAGTGGGCCATCTTTTAATCCACATTTCAGCTAACCGAGCAAATAAACTATTAGACTTTTTATTTTATAACTCCCAGAGCTGCAATATTAAATGCAGAGTCCCTACTTAGCGGGCCTAAATCAACAAATTCAGCCTGATCCAACTCTATGTTCCTTTCACCATTATCTCATACCCTGAATATACATTCCCATGTTTGCCCTTCAGATTTCTGTTTAAATAAATTAGAAAACTCAAGCTATTACTGCAGATGGGGAAGCTGTTTCTTCTAGCAAAAAAAATTCATCAGAGTTTATAAACTCAGTATCCCCAGCTTCATCAGGGTCTACCCACACGTACCCATTCCAAGCTACAAGGTCCTACTCTTTTCCAATCAATGCCCTCACTTTAACAGTAGACACCTGGCAAGGCTGTGCATGCACCTTTCACTGCATGTCAGCCACCCGCATGATAAAAACTTGTGTCTGTTTTTCCACAATTTCAGCTTTTTCTCCACAGGAGATAATGAGAGACAGGACTAGCTGGATTTCCTAGGCCGACTAAGAATTCCTAAGCATAGCTGGGGAAGGTGACTGCACCCATCTTTAAACACGGGGCTTGCAGCTTAGCTCACACCCGACCAATCAGGTAGTAAAGACAGCTCACTAAAATGCTAATTAGGCAAAAACAGGAGGTAAAGAAATAACCAATCATCTATCACCTGAGAGCACAGGGGGACAGGGGGAGGGACAATGATTGGGATCTAAACCCAGACATTCAAGCTGGAAACAACAACCCCTTAGGGTCCTCTCCCATTTTATGGGAGCTCTGTTTTCACTCTATTAAATCTTGCAACTGCACAATCTTCTGGTCCATGTTTGTTATGGAGGGTCAAGCTGAGCTTTCGTTTGATGTCCACCACTGCTGTTCGCCGCCATAGCAGACCCGCCGTTAACTTCCACACCTCTAGATCCAGCAGGTGTCCACTGCATTTCTGATCCAGCGGGATGCCAGCTGCCGCTCCCAATCAGGCTAAAGGCTCGCCATTTTTCCTGTATGGCTAAGTCCCAGGTTTGTCCTAATTGAGCTGAACACTAGTCACTGGGTTCCACGGTTTTCTTCTGTGACTCATCACTTCTAATAGAGCTGTAACAGTCACCGCATGGCCCAAGGTTCCATTCCTTAGAATCCATGAGGCCAAGAAGGCCAGGTCAGAGAACAAGAGGCTTGCCACCATCTTGGAAATGGCCGGCCACCATCTTGGGAGTTCTAAGAACAAGGACCCCACCAGTAACAATAAGGCTCTCACTCAGCGCAATCTTAGCAGATTTGAGGCTCAGTATCTGCTTCTGAAGCCAGGAGATAGGATGCCTTTCATTATTTTCTTTCATCACTTTGTCCACTGAACTTAGGAGCAACCAACCAGCTTCATTTTGTTCCCTGGTTCTCCATATATGGTCAAAGGTATTATGTATAGAGTTACTAAACTCCTTGCCTCTCACAAGTGATGAACCAAAAATGTCAAATGTATTTATTTTGCATAACTCTCTAAAAAGTTCATGCGAAGGACAATCAGTGTTCTCCACACTATTAGCAGTACAGTCCTTAGCAGTTTTGGATCTAATTATAGTAAGCAGCCAACTCCAAAAACCCCAAATCTAACAAAAGAACCACATCCTTAAAATTTTGTTCCTCTAGAACCACTCCTGGTACCAAAATCTGTATTAGGGTTCTCTAGAGGGACAAAACTAATGGAAAATATATATATATAAAGGGGAGTTTATGAAGTATTAACTCACAAGGTCCCACAACAGGCTATCTGCAGGCTGAGGAGCAAGGAGAGCCGGTCCAAGTTCCAAAACTGAAGAACTTGGAGTCTGATGTTTGACAGCAGGAAGCATCCAGCACAGGAGAAAGATGTAGGCTGGGAGGATAGGCCAGTCTGTCTTTTCACATTTTTCTACCTGCTTATATTGTACACTGGCAGCTGATTAGATTGTGCCCACCCAGATTAAGGGTGGGTCTGCCTTTCCCAGGTCACTTACTCAAATGTTAATCTCCTTTGGCAACATCCTCACAGACACACCCAGGATCAATATTTTGTATCCTTCAATCCAATCAAGTTGACACTCTGTATTAACCATCGCAGTCATAAGATTAGAAATTATGGTTTAGGAGTTACGCAGCTAGAGGCTACAAGATTCTGACCCTCTGCAAACTGCTCCTAAGATCAGTGCTCCTGGCTCACTGGCTTCTCCCACCCACCAACTTGTCCTTAAAAAGCTCTGATCCCACTGGGCATGGTGGCTCACACCTGTAATCCCAGCACCTTGGGAGGCAGAAGTGGGTGGATCGCATGAGGTCAGGAGTTTGAGACCAGTTTCACCAATATAGTGAAACCCTGTCTCTACTAAAAATAAAAAATAAAAAAAAGCTGGGTGTGGTGGCAGGTGCCTATAATCCCAGCTACTCAAGAGTCTGAGAGAGGAGAATTGTTTGAACCCAGGAGGCAGACGTTGCAGTCAGCCAAGATTGAGTCATTGCACTCCAGCCTGAGCCTGGGCAACAAGAATGAAACTCCATCTCAAAAAAAAAAAAAAAAAAAAAAAACGCTCTGATCCCCGAATGATCGCTGAGACTGATTTGAAGCAATAATAAAACTCCAGTCACTCACGATAGCTGGCTCTGCATGAATTTCTTTCTCTACTGTAATTCCCTTGTCTTGATAAATCAGCTCTATTTAGGCAGTAGGTAAGGTGAATCCATTGAGCAGTTACATAACACTAAGGAGAAAGCCAACAAATCATGGAAATACCCATAAATGCTCTAATATTGTTATACTGCTGAATTTACCCACACTTGTAACCATCTACCTCTGAACTCTTGTTATATGAAATAATAAACCCCCATGGTTTAAGTTGTTTTTGCATAATTTGTACACTATAGAGAAAAATCAACCAAAGTCATTCAACCTCTAAAGGCAGAGGAAAATGAATTTTTGCCAACATCCTTAGATTTGAGAACACTGCAGCATGCCAGAAGTATGTTTGACTCCACTCATTTATCTTAAAAATTCAAGAATATTTTGCAATTGGGTCCACATAATACATATGCTTGTTTTACAATATTCTTCCCAAAAAGCAGTAGAAAACAAAATAAAATCACTTTAGACAAAATTTGACAAAAGATGTGGGGAAGGTGGGGAAACACAGAAAAATGTATGTTTTCGATGCATCATCTTTTGATGGTTTTTTATCAATCCATTCCAAAATATATTATTAGTAATTTAAGTGAGATAGAAGTTTTAAGTAAATTATTTTTCAAACATTCCAAATTTTTCATGATTTAATTGTAATCCTTAATGAAAGCCTTCAAGAGTTATAACATCTATCCATAATACATTGCACAAAGCTAGTGGTGGTGGTAAGAAAGAATAAAAGAATCATTTAAAGAAGTAACACTTTAAATTTGTGGTTGGTTCTTTAGCCTTACCAGTTCTCTATAGACACCATCATGTTTTCCCTCTGATTTGGTTGACTTTTCTTTCTGTAAAACTTCCCTATTTCGGTTACCAGCAGCATTCATATTGAGATTACTTCTGGCACCACCACCACCTCCTCCAAATGTCTTGGTCTTTAGATAAGAGAAAGATAAAAGAGAGGTATGTAAACGGCATTTAAAAATAGCTCTACAAACTAAGCTATGACTAAAAACAACTGAAGTAATTAAAAGTTTCTTAATTATGTTTTACATGAAAAAATACAATATTAACTTATTCTTTTTGAATGGCAAACATATCTACTAGTCACAATCTCTTTTATTCACAAATCCAGGCCAGGCAATAAAAATAATTACATGATTTGTGAATAAAAGGGAAGTCATGAAAATGAGTGTACAACTATAGAGAAGAAAATAATACAAGCATTATGAATTACTTGTTAAAATGATTTTAGGTAAAATACTTAAGACTACTGTCTTGAGTCTAAATCCAGCTACCAGGCAAAGTTATCTTTAGAATCGTTAAAATTATGTCCATAATTCAGTATTATGATTGCATAATCTTAGTAAACAAGTTTGAACATTAGATTAAAACTCTCATTACTAATTTATTATTTACATGAATCAGGTAATATGTCATTTCTTCCCAACTACATATAAAAGCTTTTAAGTCTGTATTTCTTATTTGGCCTATCTTTTTTGAATAAATATATGTGACATGAAATTTGAAATTTTGCTTTGATATTATTTTTGTTTTTCAAAACTATTAGGAAAAGATTAGGACATAAAGAATGTTGGTTTGGAAAGATACAAATTCATAACTGAAAAGCATCCCCAGTTGTTACCCTGTATAGTATGAAACATTTGGTTATACAATATTTTTATAATATTTTTTGTTTTTGTTTTTTGAGACAGGGTCTCATTCTGTCACCCAGACTGGAGTGCAGTGGCATGATCTCAGCTCACCACAACCTCTGCCTCCCAGGGTCAAGTGATTCTCCAGCCTCAGCCTCCTCAGTAGCTGGGATTACAGGCATGTGCCACTACCACCCAGCTAATTTTTGTATTTTTAGTAGAGATGGGATTTTACCACGTTGGCCAGGCTGGTCTCAAACTCCTGACCTCAGATGATCCACCCACCTTGCCCTCCCAAACTGCTGAGATTACAGGCATGAGCCACTTCACCCGGCCAATGTTTTTATAGTTCTAATAGATATAATAAAAGAAGATACTAAAACAATTTTTATTAGAGACAATGACCAATATTTTAAAATATGTTTTAAAATGATTACAGTAAGGAAACAACTTAGATATAAATTTATATAACATTAGAAAATTATTTTATACAGAATAAAATACAAAGAAGTATACATGAAAATTTTGTTTAAATGTTGGATGAGCACAAATGGATAACATATTAAGTATCTCTATTAGGTAGCTGATAAACTACAGTATTTACCTTTAACTCAAATCAAAATTAAAACCACATCTTCAATCACCAAAGATTCATTACTAGATTCACTAAATTTTTGGTTTATGGAATCCCAGAAAAAAAAAATATTTGAAATGCCTTCATAGTCATTACTTGTATAACTAGAAAAATATATTTATTAATGTGATACAAAATTTATTAGACTGGGAGACAAGGTAGCACAGTTAAGCACACTGGCTTTGGAACTAGACAAGGCTGGGACTTATCTTGGCCCAGCCACTATCTTTAGCCTTCAGACAAGTCACTTAACTTCCACTTTCCACAGAGTCTCAGGTTTTTTGTCTTTAAAACTGGGATTAGAAAACCTACCTCATTGGGATATTGGGAGAATTAAATGACATCATTGGTATGAAGTGATTATCTCAGTAGCTGGCACATGGCAAACACTCAATAACAGATGGTATTTACTATTTTGGCTAATACACTGGAAAAAAATTACCTGAAAAGTCTGGAATCTCACCTGCTCCAAATTAAATATATTTCCAAAATTTACAACCCATAATTCCAAAAGTGCTTTTTCCTTTGGTGCCAGTGAAATAGTCCCATCTTCTGGATGCATTTACTTATAATTTTCTTTCTATTTTATGGATTAAGGAATAGGATAAGTAGTATTTTCAGAGTTACTTTTTACTGCTCTAAAATAGTTAATACTCATTCATACAAATATCTAGAACCATCACAACCTAAACATTACCCATAAGGTAACTGGTGTTGCCCTTTATGAGCCACACCTTTTTGTTCATATTATATGAATTAGGCATCCATGAGATCATCATGAGTGTGAAATTCAAGTGGGCCTTAATGCTGTCTAGCAATCTTACCATATTTCCCTAGCCCATACATATACCTAATCTTCTAGACCACTATTTTACACATTCTCCTCACTTCTCAAACCTCCTTCTCTCATGTCACTGTTGACTATGCTTACTTCCTTATTTAAAAAAAAAAAAAAAACTGAAATAATCATTAAAGAACTCACATAGATTTTGACCACATCAACCCACACACTGTTGGTACATGCATGGTTATACTTTATCTTAATCCCATATGATTTATCATACCACCAACTATATGAATGTTAAGAGGAATGAGGATGGAATAAACAACTTCCTCGATTCTATATTAATTCTAAGTGCTCATCTTATATAACTTTTCAATTGCCTTTGATAAGTTTAACACTTCCTTTTCCATAATCTATTTTCTTCATTCTCCGTTTTTATCCTGTTACTGGTCATGCCTTGGCTGGTTCCACTTCTGCCATCTAGGCTGTAAGTTCAACTTGAAGTGTTACAGGGTTCATTCCTTAGGTTTTTCTGTTCTCTATCAACACTCATTCCTTTGGTGATCTCATTTGGCCTCATAATTTTCAATACCATCCATATGTCTACAACTCTCAAGTGCATGTATCTATTTTAAAGCTCATTCTTCAATCTTACTGTCTATTAAACATTATGTCTATTACTGTCTATTAAACTACATGCATGTCTGGTAAGTACCTCAATATTCACATGTTCAAAATGGAGCACCAGATCTTCCTCCCCTCACATCTGCTCCACTCCAGGCTTCTTCATTTCAAGGCAAGCAACTCCAATGTGCCAATTTCTCTGGGTAAAACCCTTAGATTCATTTTTTTTTTTGAGATGGGGTTTCACTCTTGTTGCCCAGGCTGGAGTGCAATGGCGCAATCTTGGCTCACTGCAACCTCAGCCTCCCGGGTTCAAGTGATTCTCCTGCCTCAGCCTCCTGAGTAGCTGGGATTACAGGCATGCGCCACCACGCCCAGCTAATTTTGTATTTTTAGTAGAGACAGGGTTCTCCATGTTGGTCAGGCTGGTCTTGAACTCCCGACCTCAGGTGATCCGCCCGCCTCGGCCTCCCAAAGTGCTGCGATTACAGGTGTGAGCCACTGCACCTGGCTAGATTCATTCTTGATACCACATCTTCTCTTGTACCCTATATCCAATCTCAGTAACCCTAATGGCTCCTCCAAAATTCCAAAATCTGACCACTTTGCACTACCTACACAACTACTATACTTGTCCAAGCCATCATTTTTTTTTTTAAATCCTAGATTACTTTAATAATTCTCTACTTGTTGGTTTCCAATTTTCCTTCTCTATAACCAAGTCTGAACACAGCAGCTAGAATTACTCTTTTAGAATATAGGTCAGCTGATGTTACTGCTGTGCTCAAAACATTCCAAAGGCTCCCATTTCTCCTTGAATGAAGTATAATGTCTTTACAGTAGTTTACAGGGCCCTACATAAGGAAACCTCCATTATCTCTCTTGACTTTAGCTTCTACTACTTGTCCCTCTGATCTCTCTGCTTCCGCTGGTCACTCTGCTGTTTCTCTGTGCTCCTGCTTTAGAGTCTCTGCCATGGCTTTTCCTTCTGCCTGGAATACTCTTGCTCAGACAACCAAGTAGTTAATTATCTTACCTCCTTCATGTCTTGGCTCAGCTCTCACTATCCTGAGTCCTAAACAGACTATTATATTTAAAATTGCAATCTGCTTATTTAGTATGTTTATATTACTATGATTGAGATCTTCTAAGTTACATCAATTGAGTCCCATAATTATCACCGGATAACCTTGGGCAAGTCCCAAGTTTGTTTGTTAGTTTTGAGCCTCCATCAATTCTCTCACATATAAATTGAGATGTTTTGATGTCTGTTGTTAAAAAAAAAAAAAAAACCTAAGATGCTTTATTTATCAAATATTTATGGGAAAATATAATATCAATTGTGACAACAAAAAGAAGCACATTACAATAGGTTAACTATGCTCCAATAAATAGATAGCTGTAACTGTATCCAACAAAATCTTTGGTAGAAAAGTTCGTTTGAGTTAAATGTAAATCAAAAGAACATCTTTCTATAATCATTTTAAAAATATATATTCTCAATATATTCTGAAACTCCATAATTTTATAAATTTCTGGAAAAAAAATGTTTCATGCAAATTATGTAAAACGTATTAGTTTAAGAAATGGTAAAACTGGTTTTTTAAAAGTATGCCTTGGATAGAGGAAAAAATAAAGACTAGCAATAGTCATGTTTATTGAGAGCTTTGAGCAAGAGTATTATGATTTGTGCCAAGTAGCAGTAGTATTGGCTCTAAATGTTTAAATTCTCACATATGAAGTAGGTACCATTATTATCTCCGAGTTTCACAGATGAAAAAAATAAAAAACAGGGGATACAAAAAGCTGAGTAACCATCCAAAGGTGTCGGCAGGATATGCTTCCAGTCTGTGATTCCAGGGCTTGTGCTTCTGGCCCCCTACATTAGACTGACAACAGAAAGACATTGCAGGAAGAACAACCAAAATTCAAGAACACTACTACTTACACTTCAAAATTAAATAGGAAAGCAATTATAAGCTAAGCTTCATTACAGGTTTTGAATAAAGGAAATAATATCTATCTCACTGGTTAAGAAATGTCTATGTAGCAACTAATTTATGACCTAAAATTTCTTATCAATCTAAAAGAAATCAGTAAATAACTAGGAAAAACACCTATTACAAATAAGCAAAAAATTCAAAATAATAAAAAGAGAACCTTTGGCTGTCAATAATATAAGAGAGAGGGGTTTGTTCCTTCAGGATGTTGGTCTGGGCAAAGATTTTTTGGATAAGACCACAAAAACACAGGCACACAAGTAAAAATAGACAAATGAGATTATATCAAACTAAAAAGCTTCTGTGTAGCCAAGAATTCAATCAACAGAGTGAAGAGACAACCTACAGAATTAAAGAAAATAATTGCAAACTATTCATCTGACAAGGGGTTAATATCTAGAATATATAAGGAACATAACAATTCAAAACCAAAACAAAACAAAAAAATATACCCAGCCAGGTGTGGTGGCTCATGCCTGTAATCCCAGCACTTTGGAAGGCCAATGTGAGCGGATCACCTAAGGTCAGGAGTTCGAGCCTAGACTGGCCAACATGGCGAAACCCTGTCTCTACTAAAAATACAAAAAAAAAATTAGCCAGACACAGTGGTGCACACCTGTAGTCCCAGCTACCTGGGACGCTGAGGCTGGAGAATAGCTTGAACTTGGGAGGCAGAGGTTACAGAAAGCCAAGATCACACCACTGCACTCCAGCCTGGATGACAGAGTGAGCCTCTGTCAAAAAAAAAAAAAAAAAAAAAAAAAAAGCCAAACAATCCAATTTAAAAATGGACAAATGATTTGAATATCATTTTTCAAAAGACCATACAAATGGCCAACAAGTATATGAAAAAATGTTCAACATCATTTATCATTGAAATCAGCCCAATAGTCCCATAGACCATTTTTTTGTATAAATACAAATTGACCCTTCTGATCTTAAAGTCTGAAACTTTCATTTGATTTATCTTTATCTGAGTTCCTTCCTCAGTTGACACTCAGGCCTTTCAAAAAGTATCAAGAACTAAAATTCACCAGACCACCACATCCAGACAATGAGATGCCACATCCCTCATTCATCATAATTGCTTCCTTACCCCTCCTTAGTTCCTGTTTTCCTGCACATAGATTCTTTCTCTGCTATATAAACCCCTAATTTTAGCCCATCGGGGGGATGGATTTGAGACTGACCACCCATCTGTTCAACTGCAGCACCCAATTAAAGCCTTCTTTCCTGGCAACACTCATTGTCTCAGTGATTGGCTTACTGTGCAGTGAGCAGCAGGATCTAGACTGAACCCTGGGTGTCTCAGTAACATCATCAGGGAGATGCAAATCAAAACAAAATGAGGTATTATCTCAGCCCAGTTAAAATTGCTATAATCAAAAGGACAAAAAAAAAAAAAAAAAACTGGTGAGGATTTAAAGAAACAACTCTTATGTACTGTTGGTGGGAATGTAAATTAATGTAGCCATTACAGAAAACAATATGGAGTTTGCTCAAAAAAACTAAAAATAGAACTAGCATATGATTGAGCAATCCCACTACTGGGTATTTATCCAAAGGAAAGGAAAGCAGTAGGTCAAAGAGATAACTCCCATATTTACTGCAGCACTAGTCACAATAGCCAAGTTATGAAATCAACCTGAGTGCCCACTATCAGATGAAGGGATAAAGAAAACGTGTTATACAGTCATCCTTTGTTATCTATGAGGAATCGGTTCTAGGACTCCCACCACTCTCCCACTCCTAGGAGATAAAAAAAACATGGATGCTCAAGTCCCTTACATAAAATGATACAGTATTTGTATATAACCTATGCACATCCTCTTATATACTTTTTTTTTTTTAATTTTTGTTTTTTGAAATGGAGTTTCGCTCTTGTTGCCCAGGCTGGAGTGCAATAGTGCAATCTTGGCTCACTGCAACCTCTGCCTTCTGGGTTCAAGCGATTCTCCTGCCTCCGCCTCTTGAGTAGCTGGGATTACATGCATGCATCAGCATACCCAGCTAATTTTGTAATTTCAGTGGAGACAGGTTTCGCTATGTTGGTCAGGCTGAGGTGATCCACCCGCCTCAGCCTCCCAAAGTGCTGGGGTTACAGGCATAAGCCATGGTGCCTGGTCACTCCTATATATTTAAATAATCTCTAGATTACTTATAATTCCTTATATGGTACAAATGTTATATAAATAGCTGTTATACTATATCATTAGGAAATAATCACAAGACCAAAAAAAAGTCTGTACACATTCAGTATAGACGCAACCATCCCTTTTCCCCCTACAAATATTTCTGATCCACTGTTGGTTGAATCCATAGTTAGGAAGAGCTGAATCCACAGACATGGAGAGCTGACTGCCTATACATAATGGATTATTATTCAGTTATAAAAAAGAAAGAAATCCTGCCATTCTCAGCAACATGGATAAGCCTGAAGGACATTACATTAAGTGACATAAGCCAACCACAGAAAGACAAATACTGCATATTCTCACTCATATGTGAGAGATAAAAAAGTTGTCTCAAAGAAGAGCAGCACAGTAGTTACTAGAGGCTGGGAAGGGTGAAGGTTAAGGGAGAGTGGGAGAGGTTGATTAATGGGAATTAAATTACAGTTAGGAGGAATAAGTTCTAGTATTCTATGAAACACTAGGGTGATTATAATTAACAATTTATTGTATATTTCAAAATAGCTAGATGCGTTTTGAATGTTCTCAACACAAAGATGGTAAATGTTTGAGGTGATGGATATAGTAATTACCCTGATTTCATCATTACACATTGTACACATGTATCAAAATCCACATGTACCTCATATATATGTGTAATTATTATTTGTCAGTTAAAAGGGAGGATTTGTGTGTATGTAAATACACATATGTAAAGATAAAATTATTTTTTACTATACACTAAATAAAATTAAGTATAAAGACAAAAATGTTAATCCTGACCCAGTGACAGATCCGCTGATTTTTATTCATCTCTCAGAAGTTGCTATTTCTCATAAGTTGCTATTAATAAGGGGAAATTATCTCCAAAAAAGTGGCAACCAGCCCATCTACTAATAGGAAACTCCCCGCCAGAATAAAAAGTGTGTTCAGTTGCTACATTGTTTTAAAAAAAAGGAAGAAGGAGAAAAGGAAGGTAATTTGCCAGCAAGAGTAACTTACTAGAACTACCATGGAGATCTGGAAACAGAACACATGAATAAAATATGTTAAGATCCCATAAAGTGGCAGGGCATTCCCACTTATGGAATATGCAAGAAGAATAAGGTTAAGCGTTTGTTGAATTAGTTAGCTTATATGAAAAGACAATAACGATCACAAAAAATCTAAATAGAACAAAATGATAAGAAATAAAAAATGTGTAATAATTTGATTTCTTACTTCTTTGCTCTTTGCAACTTCAGCAATAGCAGCCGTCCTTTGCTTTTCAAATTCATCATTATCATTTGTAGGTTTGACAGGCATTGTAACTTGCAATGTTTTTCTTCGATCAAGTTCTCTGCTATCCACTTGGACATGAGATACACACTTCTGGTAAAACAAGTAAGAATAAGTCAACTCAGTAGTTCCAAAAGAGATTCAAGTTTTCATTCGAAAATAATACTTCTTCAAAAGTATCTTGTATCTTTTATAATAGCTAAAAGCCTACACAAATAAAATTCTATCCCATGTATTTAAAAGTAAAAGTAGAAAACCAGAAAAGTAACTTTTCAATAAACATAACTAGTAAATAAAATTAAAATCTATATAAATATGGGGCCATCTAAGCAGGGCACATATTTAAAACATACAATGGGTCAAGAGAGCTAACTTTCATTTTAGGGTAATAAATAATTTTAGATTTCAAACAATCTTGAATAATGCACAAGAAGACATAAATTTGGTTTTGCAATTAAGAGCTTAATTTCCATATTATACCACAGTATCCCTATGTGGATTGGTTAGTACAATTATATTAACATATAAAAAGATGTCTCTGCACTTATAAACCACATTCTAAAAACATACCCTCCCCCCAAATCAGGCTTCAAAGTTTTTATACTTTTGTCTTATAAAGTAAAAAAAAGGCATCACTGCCTAAAAAGAAGCCCTCAATTCTGATCTCCAGTCCAATCTTACCAGTAAAAATAATATAAAATGAACTTTTTCTCAACTCATTAATAGGGAAAATGAGAAGATCTCAAAGAAATGTGTTCCACAAATACAGAAAAATTTCAGTAATATAAACATATCATGTTGATGCCAATACACAGCCAGCATTACCTATCTTCAACCCATGTACAAGGCTGTAAGATGCTATATAAGAATTTTTTCAGAATGAACTTTATAACCAAATAATATTATTGAAATTATACCCTTTATTATATTCTCTAACCCCCAAGAAGCTATAAAACACACTTCAAAGTCTTAAGAATAATTAGATCATAAGTCTCTCTGGAAGAGAAATGTTATCACCAAAATGTTTAAGGGTAAATTTTTACAAATATACTACTATTTTCAAATGTAAGTTATTAGAATGTTTGCACTGTTTTCCCTATGGGGGGTTTTCATTACACTGGGAGAATATCAACCATCAACACGGATCACACCGTAGGACTTCATACTTCCTTTTATCTTGGCTATCTCTTCTTCCAAACTCAGTAAAAAAAAAAAAACCAACGTTATTTTTAAAATGCTTTAAAATAGGTTTGATGCAAAAATGACTTACTTAAGTTAGAGTAGATCTTACAAAAGGCTTTTAAAGAGGGTAATAGTCAAATGATCTTACTAAATACCAAAATTTAGACACACAGACACACAATAAACCTTATTATGGAAATGCACATCTGTTGCCTACCTGTTAGTTCCATAACTCATTGCTACTCTTAGCCAGCCCAGCACTCTTGAAGAAAAAGAGCAAATGCAAGACAGATTACCAATAGCTAAATTTTGATGGCATCATCAGGAGAAGAGCAAGTTGCCACATGAATTATTCTTAGAATTGTCAGGGATAAAGCAAGAGTAGGCTGGAGAAGATTGTTGAGAATCAATTTGATGCTGAAGACAACTGAAGTCACAAGATACTGGTCAGAAGGGGAGCTGCTTCAAAGCAGCACTTTGATGACTCTGTGAGGTTTTATTTTTCTCTCCCCCTCTAATGTTTTTAATGAACAAGTGAGAAATTATGATATATTTTTGTCTTCTTACTTTTGAATTTCCCTTAAAAAAACCCTCTCCCATCCTATTTTAATTAGTTATAAGTTACTCTTCAGATATGGCTCTTAATTGCTTCAGTCTTTGGGTTAACAGCTCTTGCAAACATCAACAATATAATTACAGTGAAGGAAAAAAAACTCAAAATTATTAAATTCCTTGAACTTCGTATTTCCAAATAACTCCATAACCTCTTAATAAATAGTTCAGTGCATAATGAAACACAGCTTGAATGCTAACAAAAAACACTTTTTCCTAAATTCATCCGCCAACACAAAAGTCATTACCTGTCCAAAAGGCACAAAAGGAGGTGGTCCACCTTCAGTTCCAATATTGCTTCTATTGTGTTTTGATAAGCTCTGTGGAAAAAATCCAGTCACAAAGGAGCAGTTATACATAAAAACTATATTTCCAGCATTTATACTGTAATAGGAATCTACCTATTTGAGTAGATTCTTATAAGAAATAGGAAAAAAAAGTCTTCCATAAAGTATTTCAAACCACAAAAAAATACATTATTCTTAGCTTCAATAATTAGGCAAAGACTCTTCTCACCTCCCCTTACCAAAACACATATTCACATATAACTTACAGAAATATTTATCAAGCCGTTCCCCTAAGGAGAAAACAGTCCTCTTAAGAAGCAAATTCAAAAATAACAAACTTTGGTAACAGAATTCCATTTTAAAGCATAAAGCTATGAGAGACAAATATTACCTGGAAATTATCTTCAAAAAGAAATTTTTTAGACACAAAATTTATTAGTTAACGGTGATTTCTAACTACTTAAAGAGAACAGATTGTTATAGTATATAATATGGAGGTTCTTTTAATTATACTAAAATTTCCTTAACTTTCCTTATACTATATTTTCCTGTTTTGTTTTGCAAAACAATTCATATTTTGAAAAAGTATTCAACAAATTATTCATTAACTAAAAATAAGCTTCCAAATCCAACTAATTTTAGTTTTCTTTTTTCCTGAAATCTCATAAAGCTAGAGAGAGAACAATGTATTATGAAAATGGAAAGAAAATCTTCTGGCAAAAGCGATTTCTCACAAGATAAAGTCTTTCTAAAATCCCATAAGGAGTCTTCAGGACTCTCTTCAGTTACCTATTCCTCTGATTTATTTTGGTTTTGAGGTATTAATATACACATACATCTGTCTTACTAGTTGTTACTTAATACATCTCAACTTTAAACTTTTTGTGCATTTTAATCATTATCATTACAGAAACCATTATGATTAAAATATGATGTATAATAGCAGGTGACAAAGTTAAAAAAAAAAAACCACCATGTGCAAATTCAAGCATATTCCAGAGTTCCTGAATCGTGTAAGCACTGTATATTTTATAAAGATAATTAAGAGTAATGACAAGCACAACATTCAGTTTATTGAGCAAAGAATAATTTAAACTGTATATGAATGTCACATTTCTTTAAAGCCTATATTTAAGACATTAACCTAATTTTTAAAAACGGCAAATGCATAAAATTATCAAGAGGCCCTTTCCTTAATTTAAATATTAAACAAAGACTATTCAAACAGCTATAAATCATTTCAACTTACACTATCATTTCCTTTAAAAGTTCACGAATTGCAAATAATACCATAGCTCAATAACATTATATAATTAAAAATATATTACAGGATCTGATAAAGGTACATGAGCAATCCTTACTCTCTCTTTAAAAACAAATAACAATCTTGATGATATGTAAGAAACAACTGTTTTAAGACACAGGATAACAGATAATGCAAGACTATTATCCCTGAGAGAAGGTGAAAAAAAAAAAATAGGTAAGCTATGGCTTTCTGCTTGTAATCATGATGCAGACAGAGATCATAGAGAGCTGAGTTGAGAATATCAGTCTCACAATTCAAGCAGGCTGATGCAACTGGAAGTTGTGGGGCTGTTTCAGAAAGAAAAACCTGCATAGAAAAGAAGCTCCAGAAACCCTCATAGTAGTTCCCTTGAGTCACTGCGGATAACAAGGCTGAGCAAAAAAGAGAGTTGTAAGCTGAACAATTCCCAGAACTCATAAAGGGTATACAATCCAGCCAGATCAGACCATGCAGACTAAAAGTTCTTTGGACATTCATTCAGGACAAGGAGTAGAAATCCAGAGGGCTAAAAAATATTTGGAACAAAGGCTATGCTAAATACTCCTTTCAAAGCTTGAATACATGTCTTGAAGGGGTCAAACTGATCAAAAGTAAATTAACTGTTGACCAAAGCTAAGTCTTATACTCATTAAAGGAAAATAGCAAAATCCAAGCTCTCAACAACTACCAACATCACAATGTTCAGAATCTAAGCAAAAACTACAAGGCATGTCAAGACAGAAAAATGTGACCATAACCATCTGAAAATTTAGACAAGAGAAACAGGGCCATAGATGACAAAGATGATAAACTAGCAAACAGAGTGTTAAACAGCTATTAAAACTATGTGTAAGTATTTAAAAGAACACATAAATTCAACTAGAAAAGAAAAACACAAAAAAAAGAAGAACCAAATGGAACTTCTATAAAAGAAAAACACCACCACCAATGAAAACCTCATTGGATGGGCTTAAGAGTAAATAAAATAAGACAGAAGAAAAGATCAGTGAATTTAAAGGTATAGTAATGGAATCTACCAAAAAGAGGACAGGGGGAAAAAATGAATAGATCCTCAGTGACTGGTCGGAAAATTACCAGCAGTCTAATGTATGTGTAATTGAAGATATAATACAAAAAAAAAAAAAAACCGGAGTAAAAAGATGGAAGAGAAAAAATACATATGAAGAAATAATGGCCAAATCACATTTTTCTAAATGTGATGAAAACAATAAACTCATAGATCTAAAAAGTTCACTGAAAACCAAACAGGATAAAACACACACCAACCATGTTGGGTACATCATAATTAAAAAATCGAATTGTTGAAATCAGTAATAAAGAAAACGCTCCTCTAAGAGTCCCTGCCTGGCCATGCCTGCAAGTAGTGCAGCTCCCACTGCCCCACCAGAGCACTTCTGCTGACAGCCTCCTGCCAGAATTTGTTTGCTTGTGACCTCGCTGCCACCCCTTCAGAGAACTTCCCATCTGCTGAGTCCCTGCCACCCTCTCAGAATGCCCCCCTCCTGTGGTGCCCCTCACCAGAGCTGTCTACCCAAGGCAACCCAACTACCAATACCAGAGTGCTTCCCACCAGTGTACCCCCTTCCCATATGGCCCCCTGCCTGCAGTGCCCCTTACTGGGGCACTTCCCACCAAAAGTGCCCCAGTTGTCACCACAGGAGCATTTCCTGCATGTGGCCCCCTTGCTTGCAGCACTCCGCATCACGTTGGCCATAACACCCCCTGCCTGTGGGGCCCTCCTCACTGGAGCACTCCCACTTGCAGCACCCTACACCCATGGCATTCCCCTGTAAGAACACCCCCAAGCTGAGGTAAATAATAATAGAGAAAATGAACAAAACTTCTAAGAAATATGTGGTTATGTAAAGAGACCAAATGTACAACTCTGACATTCCAGAAAGAGAAGAAGAGAGAACAATCAACTTGGAAAAATATTTGAGGATACAGTCCACAGAACTTTTCCAAACCTCACTAGACAGGTCAACATGCAAACTGAAGAAATTCAAAGAACCTCTGTGACATACTATGCAAAAGAAAAAAATCACAAAGGCAGCTAGAGAAAAGGGGCACTTACAAAAAGAATCCCATTCAGCTAAGAGCACACCTTTCAGCTTAAACCTCACAAGCCAGAAGACAATAGGGCCTATTTTCAATATCCTTAAAGAAAAGAAATTCCAACCCAGAATTTCCTTTGCTTCATAAGCAAAGGAAAAATGAAGTCCTTTTCAGGCATGCAAATGCTAAGGGGATTTATTACTACCAGATCTGCCTTACAAGAGCTCCTAAAGGGAGTGCTAAACATGGAAATGAAGAAATGATACTTGTCATCACAAAGCACACTTAAACACATATTCCACTGACACTACAAACTATGCAATCACGTCTACATAACAACCACCTAACAATATGATGACAAAATCAAACCCTAACATATCAATATTGACCCTGAATGTAAAATGGTTAAATGACACACTTAAAAGGAATAGGGTGGCAAGTTGGATAAAGAAGCAAGACTCAACTGTTTGCTGTCTCTAAGGGACCCATCTCACAAGTAATGACACCCAGAGGCTCAAAGTAAAGAGATAGAGAAACATCTTTCAGGCAAACACAAAACAAAAAAGAGCAGGGCTCGCTATTCTTCTGTCAACTAAAACAGACTTTAAACCAACAACAATTAAGAAGCACAAGGAAAGGCATGACATACATAATAATAAAGAATTCAACTCAACAAGAAGACTTAGCTATCCTAAATATGTACCTACCCAACACTGGAGCACCCAGATTTATAAAATAAGTTCTTCTTGACCTATGAAAAGACTTAGACAAACACGATAATAGTGAGACACTACAGCATCCCACTGAAAGCATTAGACAAATCATCAAGGCAGAAACATAACACAAAAATTCTGGACTGAAACTCAACACCCAATCAATTGGACCTAATAAACATATGCAGAATCCTCTGCCCAACAACCACAGAATATACATTCTTCTCATCTGCACACAGAACATAGTCTAAGATTGACCACATGCTTGGCCATAGAGCAAGTCTCAATTAATTCAAAAAAATCAAAATCATACCAAGCACACATTTGGACCACAGTGCAGTAAAAACAGAAATCAATAGCAAGATCTCTCAAAACCACACAATTACATGGAAATTTTAAAACTTACTCCTGAATAACTTCTGGGTGAACAATGAAATCAAGGCAGAAATCAAAAAATTATTTGAAATTAATGAAAAGAGAGACATAACATAAATCTTTTAGATGCTGCTAACACAGTGATAAGAGGAAAGTTTTCAGTGCTAACCATCTACATCAAGAAGTTAGAAAGTTCTCAGATTGGCTGGGTGTGGTGGCTCATGCCTGTAATCCCAGCTCCTTGAGAGGCCAAGGCGGTCAGATCACTTGAGGTCAGGAGTTCAAGACTAGCCTGGCCAAGATGGTGACACCCTGTCTCTACTAAAAATACAAAAAAAATCAGCTGGGTGTGGTGGTGCATACCTGTAGTTCCAGCTACTCAGGAGGCTGAGGCAGAAGAATTGCTTGAACCCCAGAAGCAGAGGTTGCAATGAGCCAAGACTGCACTACTGCACCCTAGCCTAGATGATAGAGTGAGACTCCATCTCAAAAAAAAAAAAAGTTATCAAATTAACAATCTAACATTGCACCTAGAAGAACAAGAATAAAAAGAACAAACTAACCCTGAAGCTAGCAGAGGAAAA